CCCCAAAACCCCAAAACCCCAAAACCCCAAAACCCCAAAACCCCAAAACCCCATTGTGGTCAACTCAAATTGAAAATTTCTTATTCAATAATAAATATGAATCTGAGAAAAATATTGAGAGAGAAGAAAAGAGAAACTGCAGAAAGGATGAAGAACAGCTATATGATACAAAACAAGAAGCCATCTTATTATAGATCCAAAATTAAGAAAGCTAGAAAAGTCAATCTTGGTGAAGTCAAGAGTTATAGGAATGCTCAGTCGAATGACCCAGCAGCTCGTTATAGCAAACCATTACAGGCTGATATCTCAAGATCCATGGATACTCTGGGGAGAGCTGAAAGTCCTGGAACAAAGGCTCTTAGGATGAAAAAGAAAATTCTAACTCAGAAGGTTTCAAAAAGCAAAGCTCCTGAAATCAAAATCTCTGAAAATTCTCAACCTGCTAGAGAAATGAGTGTTCCACCTCTTTTGCATACCCCTGCTAATAAACCACTTTCAGAAATGAGTGCTATTGAGTATTATTGGTTCCACAAAAACCAGCACGATGCTCAAAACTCAGGAATGTCTTCAACAAAATCAATAGGAATGGGTCTTAGTGAAAAACCTGCCAGTCAAAGAAGCAGTAAGTACTATTAAAACCCCCCACTATTTCGAAATATTCATACTTTCATGCCATCTGAATATTTTTAGAGAGAGAGAAAAACGTAGAGACACCTGAAAAGATCCGAAGAAGTATGACCTTATTCTAACCTTTAGTGCATGAGCAAAAACAAAGAGAAATAGGTAATACCCCTTGAACCTGATTCCTATTCCACCAGTGCCACAGAGATTGAACTGATCCTAATTTCTCTCTTTCAGCATATTTCGGCTAGAAAATACTTCATTCAGGAATATGAAATTTCATAGTCAATAATCTGAAACTATAGAGGAGAAGAAGCAAGCTGAAATTGAGAGAAAGCTAGACATCGACCGGAAAGTTAAAGACCACCTCGTCATCGCCATGGAAGACCCAGTTGAAGTCTCTAGAAGACTTAGGAGTAAAACTTATTTGTTACATAGTAGAGAAGAGCAAAAGAAGTGTTAGAAGGAATGAGGACTATGACCCAACTCAAGAAACCTTGAAAGTGAGGACTTTTTCATTACTTTGTAGAAGAAAAATATTGTAAAGAAGGAGAAGAAAATCAAGAAAGATGGTATTTATTACATCAAAGATGCTGAGTCTAAGAAGATCAGCATGCCTAAGCTTGGTAAAGAAAGACGTTTATTTTGTAGCGAACCTGAATCCAAAAATATTCGAGATGTTTGCAAAGGAAAGAGTAGAAGCAAGAAATGAAGCTGAGCATCACACTGAACCTAACCAAGAGAAAAAGCGCAAGAAAAGGCACATTAATATTGCGGGAACAAATCCTTTAGCATCGACAGATTATAAGAAGAGCAAGAAGAAATCAAAGTCTGTGGCTAGGAATGAAAAGCCTTCCCAGAAATCAGACTAAATAGGTTGGTTGCCAGAGAAACCATCTGACACAAAAATATGAAAAAATTTAGTCTTTACAATTAATATTGCTATTACATTTTAAGGAGAATTATGAACTTCTAAATATTTCCTGAACTTTTAGAGACATTTAGCTACCGAATGAGGCATTCTAACATCCTGGTATGCAACAATTTTTAGGATATCTCTATTCTCCTCGCTAGACATCTTCTATTTTCTAAGGTATCACTGAAGCCATTAATTTTGAGATTTCATAATCCTTTTCACAAACTAAATCATTGAATATTATCGAAATTTTCAACTATAAAAGGCATAAAAGGGGTTTTGGGGTTTTGGGGTTTTGGGGTTTTGGGG